TAGAATGGAATGCCTCCCCTTCTCTCTTCATCTGCAATACCACTATCTTAGGTCAGACCACTATCATCTCTTCTCTTGACTGCTCAAATGAAATATCTGAACCCCCCCAGCCCCACACCCCACCATCTTTCCCTCCCTCCAGACTATCCTCCACAGATGCTCTGTTATAAGGACAGCATCAATCACGTTACCATGGTGCTTGGAAATCCTCAATGCCTTCCCATCGTTCTCAGGGGACGGAGCGATATCCTTAACTTGGCAAGTCCCTCCATGACCTGGCCCCTGCCTGCCTCCCCGGTCTCGTCTTATCCCACCCTCTCACTTAGACTCAGTGATCCAGCCACTCTGATCTTCTTTCCACTCTTAAACAAGCCATGTTATCTTCAGCCTTCAGGACTTGCATATGCCTGTTCCTTCTACCCGAGGTTCTATCCCCACTACCCACCGTCATTCTCCAGCTCACTACTCAAATGTCACTTCCTTGGGGAAGCCTACCATGAGCCCCACAGTTTGGGTCAGGTCCCTTAATTAAGTGCTTTCATTGGTACTTCCCTTTCATAATACTTTTCACAGTGGCAATTTTAAATGTATTTATAGGATTGTTTTATGAAGCTCCTCCCCGACTAGACCACAAGCTTCGTGTTCATGAGAATCATGCCAAATTCATCTTTTAACCTAAACACCCAGCAATTTCTGAAACAAGGCAGATGCTCAAATAATAATTGATGAGTGAGGAATGAATGAATAAGGAAAATGAAGACCCTTTCCACTTGGATATCCTAGGCCTCGTAAAAACTGAAAAATACACCACCTTGCTATGCCCTTCAGCAGGAAAAAGACAATTCCCCGTTCAATTTGTTGGGTCAGAAAACCCCAGATACCACGGTAGTAATATTTTTGTCAGTGTTTCCAAAGATATTTTCATATGTAATCTCATCCACTTAGGCCCTCTGGCCATGCAGATAAGAAGTTAAATTCAGGATTGCTCTGGACGCTGGCCGTGGACCTAAAGCAAATAAGATGAACGTGAGTACAGACGAGTAAGTCTGCGGCTCTGCGGGCCTGCAGTTAACTCGGTCATGAGCAAAAATGGACTGCTTGTCTTTCGGAATGCGTGCTCCAGAAATGGAGCACTGCCTGATATTTTCCTTCAACAACCGGCCAGGACTTCGGGCATCCCAGGGGCATGGGCTGAGCAGTTTCATATAAACAGTACCAGAGGCCCATACAGGGGCCCCTGTGTTTTTCTGGGCCACCGATCGTGACATTGGCTGTGCCACTGCTCTTACTGACGGTGGTCAGAAGGAGGAGGGCTGGGCCAGCTGCCAGGAGATGCTCTGCGATCAGCAAGGCTCTGTTTGTTATTTCAGGGTCCCAACCTGAGTTCTAGAAAACAGCTTCCTTGGACAGGGGAGCCCGAGAGTGAGCAGCATGGTACAATGAAAAGAGCCAAGTTTGGCCCATTCTCTTGGGTTCAAACCCCAGCAGAGCCACTTATTAGTGATGTAATATTGGGCAATTCACTGCGTTTCTCTAAGGCTTAGCATCTTCATCTGCCGAACAGAGGGTAGGGTCAGGATAATTCTTTCTACCTCTGGGAAATGATGTAATGGATATGAAGTGCCTAGCACATAGTAGGTACTCAATGAACATCCACATCTTCTCTCCATCCCGAATCCTTCTTCCAAGCATGTAGCAGAGTCAAATCCTCAGCTTTTATTTTAACAACTGAGAGTGATTCTCTGAACCTCATCCTTTCATCCCGACTTTAATGGAAAGGGTGAAATTTTATTAGCTCCTTTAGAAGTATAACAAATGAGAGTGAACTTTATGAAAATGCATGGAATATTACAGAAATGGCTGAATGTTGAGAAGTATCCTTTCTTCTGTTGCAGAAGCAATAATATCAATGTCTATCTCTTCTTGAGTGCCTCCCAGGGGCCAGGCACTGAAGGAGTCATTTGCACCCCTGCTAGCAGTGTGACCTTGGGCAAATACCTATCTATGCCTCGACTATATCTACTGTAGGATACAGATCATAATAACACCTTCTTCGTAGCGTTGCTTCAGAGACTAAGGAAAATACTCTATTTCACTGAGATCCGCTTAGGACTGTCTGAACATTAAGTGCTCAGTAAATGGTAGATCTTGCTGTCATTCATGAGCATGCTAGAACAAACACACTGGCTCCCAAGAGTAGACTATGTGCATTTCGTCCCAACTCTGTGCTTAGTCACTTCACACAGATAGCTTGAAATCAGATAAAGTGGACGAATTTAAATCACGGAAATCAGAAAACACTCCTAATAAGGACTACTTATTTTCAGAGAGCTAGTTATTAGCTATTTACCAGCATATCACTCTAATTATTCTTTCTATTTTCCCAATGAAGCGATGAGGCTTCTGGAGAGGTTAAGTGACCTATCCAAGGTCACACAGCCGGTAAACGGCAGAGTTAGGGCTTCAATCAGGTCCATCTCACTACAAATCCCATGGTTTTTTCCACAATAAATGTGTTGACATTTAAAGTAAAGGAAGAGGTTGGGGGCCAGCCCCGTGGCCGAGTGGTTAAGTTCACATGCTCTGCTTCAGCAGCCCAGGGTTCGCCAGTTCGGATCCTGGGTGTGGACCTACGGACGGCTCATCTTGCCAGGCTGTGGCAGCACCCCACCGAGGAGAACTAGAATGAACTACAACTGGGATATACAACTATGTACTGGGGCTTTAGGGAGAAAAAGAAAAGAGTAACACTGGCAACAGATGTTAGCTCAGGGCCAATCTTCCTCACCAAAAAGCATACTTTAAAATATATAAATAAAGTAAAGGAAGAGGAAGCAACCTGTGTTTTTAATAGGTTCCTTATGTATCACGAGTGTCCTAAAGAGAGTCAAAATATCTGACCTATTGTTTTGAACTTTAGCATTTACTCTCTAACCATGCTTCACAAGTGTGAACTCATTAAATCCTATAAGGTATTTCTCATTATTGTCCCACTTTATGGATGAGTTAACTGAGGCAGAGGGAAGCTGAGTAACTTGTTCAGGGTCACACAGCAGAACAGAGAGTGAACCCAGATACTCTAACTGCAGAATCTGTGTTCTTAGCCATGGGGCTGGACTGTGTCTCTCCATTAACAAGAAGCATTTGAGTCAAGCTTCAGCACAAAATCTGCCCCCCTCCTTTGCCCTGGGAACTTAGCAGCACTTTTTTCACTCCTTGAATGACAGAGGAAATATTTGTGGACGCCCCACAAGCGCACCATGCGGGCAGAAGCCAGTTTGCACAAGGGCCTGGCATGCGGGACTCTTCAGTCAGCAAAATGCTAGTCATTTCTCGAGCCTCCACTTTGAAGCAAGCTGTCGCGCTGCTGAGGGTTGACAGCTGGAGCCTCGAGCGGGCAGCCAGCGTGGGGCGTGGGAAAGAGCTGCATCCCCTTTTTAACTTTTTATTATGCAAACTTTCAAATATTCACAAAACAAAAGAAAATGATCATTTTTGATTCAAGGATGGACTTCTTTACCCGGTAAAAAACTGGAGAGTGTTCAACTCACACATTTAGGAGGTAGATGAGGCAAGTCCAGATAGAGCACAATTCCAATCGCCCCTCCCCACGTCCACTGCTGCAACCTTAGCCCCGGCTGGTGGACCACTGCCTAGAAACCACGGTGGCCTCCTGACGGGTCTCCCGGCTTCCACTCCTGCTGCCCCAAACCCTGTTCTCCATAAAGCAACCACACTGAGCCTCGGGAAGTACAGATTACATGCCAGAACACCCTTACTGAAGCCCTCATACAAGAATCAGATCCAAACCTTTGCCATGGTTGATGAAACCCCAAGTGATCAGCCCTCAGCCAATATCCTCGACCTCGTCTCCCACCTTTATTCTCACAGCTCCAACCAATGGGCTTTCGTTCAGTTCCTCAAAGAGGCCAAATTTGTTTTTAAACCTCAGGGCCTTTGCACCTGCTGTTTCTCTACCTTAAATGTTTTTATTCCACCCAAATGGTGATATGGCTGGCTCCTTGTCTTCATTCAAGGCTCAACTCAAATACCACTTCTTCAGAGCACCGTCCTTGACTGCTCCATTTAAAACACTCCCCTGGCACATTCTAGCCATGTTTTATTTCCTTCATGACACTTGCCACGTGCTTATGCCATTTCTTCATTTAATTGTTTATTGGTTCTCTCCAGTGGCTAGAATGTAAACTGCATGAGAGCAGGGACTTTCTCAAGTCACAATTGTCTCTCCGGTGTCTGAAACAGTGCCACTACCTGACACGTATTCAATATTTATTGAACGAACTACTAATAAGTGATGAAAATGAATACACAACAGTGATGACACCCACCCAGAGTCTGACGGTCTAGGAGTTCCTTTCCCGAATAGTAGGTTGTTGTAGAAATGATTCATGGTACCACTTCTGAATGGAGGAAGAGGTCCCTAGAACTGAGTGACATCTAGTGGGAGGTCCTCAGCAAAGCAAAGTGTCTTGTGGGGCTACGAGGGATCTGCCATTCTGCCTGCACTACATCTTCAGATTGGAAGGAGGAGGTGACAGACAGACCCTCTGCTCGTCACGCCTTTGTGTAAGTATGGCAGGACCTGTGACTTGCTTCTAATCAATTGAATACGGCAAAGGAGATGGGCGCTCCCTCCTGCGATTACAGTGTGTTAGATAAAGACTCCATCTCAGCAGATGGAGCAAAAGACTCTCTCTCTGCTGCTGGCTGCTTTGCTGTAAGAGGGCCGATGCAGAGGGCCATGTGGCAAGGAACCGCAGGTGGCCCCTAGGAGCTGAGGGTGGCCCCCAGATGACAACCAGAGAGAAAACGGGGCCTCTGTCCTACAACCACAGCAGACGGATTCTGCCAACAACCTGAGGAACCTCAGAAGTGATTTTTTCCACAATTGAGCCTCTGACGAGACCCCAGCCCTGGCTGATGGGACTCTGAGCAGGCGACCCAGCTAAACTGCGCCCGGGCTCGGAACCCACAGACGCTGTGAGGTAATTAACATTTGTGTTGTTTTAAGCCACTAAATTTGCGGTAAATTGTTACGCAGCAATAAAAAACTAATACAGAAGAGACTGAAGTCATTCATTCATTGGTAGAAAGAAAGTCCCCTTCACTAAAGATCTCTGCGCTAAGGCTGGCTCAGAAAAAACTGGGATTTACAGATCCCTGCAGTCAAGAAAACAAAGAACATGATGCTTTTATTTATGATCCCAGAGGCAAAGTTTGTTAATCAACGGCCAATACGGTTATGATGTTCCCTGGTAGTTAGCATTAACTTAAGCAAAATGTCCCTATGGACTTGTCATCTGGAATGGCAGGAGAAAGCAGGTCAGGAAGACTCGCTCCACTCCCCAGCCAGGCGTGGGAGGGACAGAGTCCCCAGGGATGATGTAAGTAGTGGCCGCTACTGAGAAGAGAACGGAGCAGACTGAGACCCTGGAGCCTGTGGGAAGAGAAAGAAAGACAACATTTTTTTGTGTACGACATGGGCCCCAAATGGAAAGAGGTGCTTAGCAATAAAGGAGCCACTGGTGGGCCCCAGCGTAGTAGCTACCTTCTCTTTCGTCTCTCTCTGTGAACCAGTTGTAAACATCTTCAGATCACGGACTTGCTCAGGCAGGAGTTGAAGGGTATGCAGGGCACCTATGGTCATGGGCTCCCTGGCACTCCAGTCCAGTAGGTTGAGCTGGGCTCACCGGAAGTTATATGACGATGCTGGAAAGTACCAGCACCGGGCTGAATTCTGAAAGTGAGTGGGGTTTTAGGTCCAACCACTTCCCAAACTCCTGGGTAAGTTTCACGACACACTTGTTATGGTCCCGTGGGGACTATCTCCATCTCTCACAAGTCATTAAAGTCAGTGCCTTGTGATGGCTGCCACCAGGCACCAAATATATTTTTCAAGTGAAAGTACAAATATGTAGCACAGAGGCAAAAATATAACCCATCATAAATAGAGCCGAGGGATCTGTATATGTCCTAGGATACTATCTTCGTAGATACTGGGAATCTCCATCCAAAACATGGAGCGTTTTCCTCCGAGGTTATGAGTCAGCTGCCTGGTGTGTCTGTCAGGCATGCTCCAGCCACACCCTGGGTTCTGTGACCTTTAGGAGCAAGGAGAAGGGAACACACGTTAAGGGAACAAGAGGACTGAGGAGCTCTCTGGGAAGAAAAAGGGGTTGCAGAATCAGGAGGGAGAGGAACAGGAATGAGGGAGAAAAGTCATTGGAATAGGATTGGCATGAAATCAAAAGGGAGAGGGCTAGACCACGCTTAGGCAAGACCGTCACTCACGAATATCAGCTTGCCCTCAGTAGTGACCACTGCCCTGGAGAAGTGGTTCTCAAAGTGTAGTTTCTGATGAACAACATCTGCATTACTCAGAAATTTGTTGAAAGTACAAATTCTCGGGCCCCACCCCGGGCCTACTGCATCAGAAATTGTAGGGGTGGGGCCCAGCAGTGTGTGTTAACCAGCCCTCCAGGGGACTCTGAAACAAGCTCAAGTGTGAGAACCACTGCTCTCAGGTATCCAGTACCCTCAGGTCGTCTCTGAGGTGTCCAGTCGCTGCTCCATCTCAGGAATAACCAGGCTTTGTCCATATTCTTCTCACCTCCCCTCATGGAATTGTATGAGTTGTATCTGCCAGCCTTTTATCACTACTTTCTCCAGACCAAGCCACCTAATTCACACTCAGGTGTTAACAGTTGCCAGAAATTGACTTACCGGCCCCAGTTCTTCTCCCCTCCCTATAACTGGTACCCTTGTCATGAAGCCATGCAAATCCTCCACAAAAGGCAGACGATATGGCCCCATCCCTTTTCTTTGAGCTTGGTCACGTGACTTGCTTTAGCCAATAGGATGTTAGCGGAAGTGACTCAAACAGGGGCTTGAAATGTGATCGTGCAGGTCAAGCTTATCCTGACACCTCTGCCATCCCCATGAGATGGGCTCCCCTGGGGACACGCTGCCCCTTCAGCCTGGTCCCAGAATGAACACAGGTGGAGCAGAGCCAAGCCAGCCACCTAAGCTGATGCACATTCCTATGAGCAAAATCAGTCCACATTGTACAGCACAAGATTCTGGGTGGGCTTGTTGTACAGGATTGGCTGACCAGTACACTGGGCATCAGTGGACTTGGGTGCTCGTCTCCTGGGTGATCTATTTTCCCTCCAACATGAGCCTCCTGAAATCCCAGAGTCTTACGGCAGAGCAGGACTTTCAGGCTTTTGCAAGGAGACGGTGAGGAACATCGTTTAAGGGGGCTCAGCTCGGGGGATGAGGAGCTCGCTACTTCTCCCTCGCCAACTGGGAGCAGGGCTGCCCTGGGAGTCACTACTGGGTCAGGTGACGAGAAAGACACCGAGGACAGAGCAGGAAGCAAGACAGGAAGGAAGGACGAGTGTGCGCTTGAGCAGAAAAGAGACAACAGGTTGGGGTGGAAGAGACCGGCAGCAAGCATCACGCTGCACCCTCACTGCCTGCACTGCTGACAGCCTCCAAAGGGAATTTGCAAACCCAGGCAAACCCATCTTCACCTTCATCTGTCCCTGCTTCTGACCATGCTGCCTGTGATGTGCCTCTTACTCAGCAAGCCCGAGCTCTGCAGCAGGGCCAGGAGGAAAAGCAGCATCCTCTCGGTGGGAGGTGGCTGGGAACTGTTTGTATCGAATGAATAATTCACGCTGGAAACAACCACTCCCACCCAGATTCCTCCCATGTAATTAATCGTTCCTGAAGCGCTCTCATAGGGGTGGGGTCACAGCAGTAAAATGCCACACAGGCTCTGCTCTCAGAGCTGCCTGGGGACTTGGGGCAGGCCGCCTGGGTAACAGGTTAGCGGCCACAGGACAATCCCGGCCATGCAGGGTAACTGAGGTTACCCCCGGTCATCGGCATGTGGCTTCCCTATGTGGTGAATGATGCTTGCGGTGGGCACAGCAGAGGCATCTGTCCTGCAAGTCAAAGCCTGTCCAAAGGGGAAATAATGTAATGAGCACTTTCTAGGTCCCCAGAGGTGGGCATGTGGTGGATTTCAGCATGGAGATGCCAGAGCTGAGATGTGCTGTGAATACCCTCTCTGCTCACCCGCAGTGAACTCAGCTGGTTTGTGCCATACCGATAGCAGCCACCTTACCCCCAGCCCAGGGATGCCGGCCAGGCCCAGCTTCTCAGAAGGAAAGGGAAGGGAAAGATAGTACCCCTGGCTGAGCGCTCACTTCGTGCCAAGCAGTTTACATAAACTGCCTTAATCTGCCTCCTCACTCTGCAAGGTGTTGTCCTTATCCCCATTTTACAAATGAGAATAGTAAAACTCAGGGAGCTAAGTCCACGTAGTTGTTAAGTAGCCAGTCAGGGTTGGAACCCAGACTGAGCTAGAAGCCATTGTTTGCATTCTTGCTGTACCACACTCTAGGGGTTTGTCCATTTTATTAGAAGTCATTTTAATATTAACTTCCTGAGGACAAAGACTGGGTCTGCTCTCTCCCTGGGCTAAGTTTTACAGGCATTGTCTCATCTAGCCTTCTCAATGCTAGTGTTATCCTCATTTCACAGAGGAAAAAAGTTAAGCTCAGAGAGGTTAAGTAACTTGCCTAAGATCACATAGCTAATAAGTAGTACAGCCAGAATTTGAACACGAGTCTGATTCCAGAGTCTGTCTTATTAAATATGTAATTTTTAGTGCGTATCATGAACCCAGAGTCATTATTAATTTGATTCCGTGAAGCTGAGGACCAATGACAACGACAACAACGATTCCTTCTTGGCGGGGATGCTGTGAGAATTCAGAATGAATGGCTCAGCTCCTAGGCACCTCCCTAGCACACAGTAGGTCCATAAAAACAGCCAGCTCTGGGGCAGTGCTTGTTCCACGTACATGTGGCTCAAAAATACCTTGAAGCGAGCTAAAGAAAATAAAATCCCTCTCAGTCCGACCCCCTCTGCCTTGTGGCTCAACTGATTTTGTGAATCAATACCATCTGTCCACTCACTCTCCTGGGGCCCGTGCTTTTAAAGATCACACCCCTCTGGGCCGGTAGATAACGAGACCAGTAACTTCCACACTCTACAGCCAATATTTTCGAAGAGCAAGCTCTTTAAGGTGCTGCCGCGTGGTACACTTCCTTCCCTTGAGAAGGCCGTCTTATAGCTGGGTCTCCAGCTCCGTCTCCGTCCTTTTGAAGGACTTCACCTGGCCTGGACTTTGGGTTGAAAGAAAAACTGGCTTTCAGCAGAGTTGTTGACACTGCTTTCCCACCCCGTAGGTAAGAGTTTTCTTTTTCCTCCCACACAACACAGGGAACAGAGAAGTCATTGAAGCCTTATAAATACTGGCAGGCTCAGAAAGCAAGTCGCCAGCCTTGAAAACATGTCTCTGTTTCCTTTGGCTAATTTGCAAATCCAGTCATATTTTCAGATAAGAAGGTAAACAGAGGGTGGAGGAGTCTAAGGAGGCCTATCTTAGGCCAGTATCTTTATAGAGAGACCGGGGGAAGAAATGTTACTGCAGTCTTTCCCTTTCAGGGAAAAGGATAGTAGCCATGCCCATAATAGCCCCAAAACCCAGGAGGGTAGCAGACACAGGCACTTCTCTTTGCACCTTCAAGAAAAAAATCAGAACCCCCGTGAATGGGTGCCAGACATATTTGCACCAGATCCCAGTCTCAGGACTTAGAGGCAGGGAACAGGGTTGAAAAAGAAATTGGTCGAGAGTGCAGCCTACGGAGCTCTAGGATGGAATCGGCTGCCTGGAGAAGGAGCAAGTTGCCCGTCTCTTAGAAAATAGCCCTACCCTGTGGTAAGACCCTCTTAGCAAGGATGCTGGGGAATGTTCTCTCAAGTTAGGGAGGTAGAGAGGATGAGAGTGAAACTCCCTGAAACTGATGGTAGAAGTTTGCATAACCCAAGTGCAGGTTCACAGCTTCTACAGCATTCTCAAAGAAGCGTGTGAACCCTCAGAAAGGTAATGAACCCTTAGACTAGGTGATCTTTAAGGTTTCTCCTGCCACCAAACCCCAGGACCTGGAATCCTTTGTGTCTCTGAATTCAGGCTGGGACAAGTAGACGTTTTATAAGACTTCAAGACATACCCTAACTAGAACATGGGCTCTAGGAAGGCAAGGATCTCTGTGCTTGCTTCCTTGCTGCACCACCAGCATTGACAACAGTGGCTGACACATACGAGGTGCTTGTGAAACATTTGTTGATGAATAGGGGTGAAGGAACCCTAGCCACAGCCTCTATTTCTTTTCCTTAGCTGACCTATGGACAAATGATGTCTCATGGGGCTGGCAGGGGAGGTGACTGGGCCTCAGCAAACACTCATCTTTGGACCTTATCTGCACAGATTCAAAGTCTCCTCCATAATTCTAGAGATAACAACATCGGGAATCTAATGTCAGCTGCTGGTTATTTAATCTGATGGCGCAACCCTGAAATGCCCCCCTACTCCTGGTCTAGAAAGGAAGAGTAGGTGGCCCGGACACCAGATGTATAAAAGGTTTCCGCTGCCCTTGACTTCAAACCTTCCTGTGTGTTGATACTGAAACCTCGTTTTGTGTTGATGTTGGTCTCCAAGATAAACAAAGCTTTACAGGGGAAATGTTTGGACCTAGAGATTCCTGTTTGCTCCAAGTTTAGACTAATGGCCGGAATAATGAGCATTTCCATTCATTTCCTTTTAAAGTGCTGCTGATAATGTAGCTAAGTGGACAGCACAAAACCACTCCTATTGGTCAGTTATCAAAAACAGTCTCTAGAATACAATCAATACTTCCCACCTCTGTGGAAACTCACCTAGAGGAAATGCCAAGAATGGTACCCCTATGGAGGCCCCAAGATCCGGAGTGTAAGAGCAAGGAGAGAGGGGAGAAGGAGGGAAGGGAGAGAGGAGAGCGTGAGGACAGCAAAGGCTAACCCCAATTGCTCATCTCCACCCTCGTTATGTGCCTGGGGCAGAGCTAAGTCTTTTAAGCGCATTAGTTCACTGAACGCTTTCAACAGCCCTGGGAGAAAAGTTTCTTTTCCCCATTTTATAGATGAGAAAAGGGAGCCTCAGAGACTTGTCCAAGGTCACAGATCTGAGGTGTGACCAAGCAGGGACTTGATGCTGAAGGCTGCACTCTTAACCGCTAGCTTGCACTGCATCTCTCTATGCCCATATCCCGTTCCTCTCTCTCCTCACCCTGTACATCCTTCCCCATCATATAAGGATGGTTTCCGAGTTAAACTGTGACTCCTCAGGCCTGGAGAGGAGAGAAAGCGAGCAGATGAAACAAGAAACTAGTGGTGGTTCCATATGGGTGGGTTGTAGATTGTAAAGCCTGGAGACGGAAGCAGAGGTTTGTGGGTAGGCCAATGAGCTTGACCAAGGCCAGGGTAGGGTTTGAAGTGGGGGAGGAGCATGGCCAGGACTGTAAGTCAAGACAGCATGCTGACTGTGGCATGCCAACCCTCAGTGGCCCAAACAAGACAGACAGCGCCGGGCTGAGGAAGTCGCCTGGCCCACAGCACTCCCGGAAGGGGTGAACCTGGCAAACCTCAGCATGGTAACCCAGTCTGGGAAGCTGGTCCCTGTTGGGTTTGGCAAGGAAGCCTTTATGAGCTCAGCAGGAGAGAACGTAGAGTGTCACTAGTTTCGGGAGGAAAAGGATCTGCTGCCCCGAGCTCAGAGCTGGGCCATCGCACAAAACGGCTTGGCGGCATGTCTGAGCCACTTCTGTTTCTGACACATGTGGTACCACATCCAAACTGGAGTCAGGCTCATCCTTGGCACACAGGAGCTTAAAGCCCTGAAAACAATCCCTGTGAACCTTGCTACTCCATGTGCGGTCCAGAGCCCAGCAGCATGAGCATCACCTGGGAGAGCGTCAGAAATACAGAGTCTCAGGCTCCACCCAGACCTGCTGTATCAGAATCTTTGACGTCTGAAAGTGCTGTCGTAGAGGGTGCTCTGACTAGGATCAGAATCTCTGGCACTACCTTTCTCGAACCTGCTTGACATACAAACTCCCCAGGTTCTCCTCCTAAAAAAAGGATTTGTGACAGCTTATAAACAGAGCAGGTGGTCAGCTAAGTAACATAACAGAAAGGATTGTAGGGACACTCCACAAGCCCACACCCCACTCAGCACCTTCCTCCACAATCGGGGTATTATACAGCCGAAAATCCCACTGCTAGGGGATCCCGTGCTTCTTTTAAAAGTTTTCTCAGAAGAAAAAGCACATTTACATTCAAACTGAGTTGTTGTTGACTTTTCAGAGCCTGCTTTTCCTAATGGCAATCTGTCAGCAAGTCTTGTCATTCTATTTGCAAAGAAAATCTTGAAAGTTCCACCTGTCTCCACCTCCACTGCGGCGTCCTGTCGCATTTGCATGCCCGCGAGAACGTCCCAGCTGCTCTCTCCACTCCTTCTCCTGCCTCTCTGATCTCTGCTGCATGCAGCAGCCAAAGAGATCACTGAGAGATGCAAGTCACACCATGTCATACACATCCCAGCCTAACGCTAGGAACTGCCTGTATCAGTTTCCTTTGGCTGCTGTAACAAATGACCACAAACATGGTGGTTTAAACCAACAAAAATTTATTGTCTCACAGTTCTGGAGGCCAGAGGTCCAAAATCAGCATCACTGG